ATTGACCGTGACGGATTTAACATTTTCACTATAGAATTTTATTTGGATGGTTGTTATGAATTATTTTATAATATATCATATTGTATTGTTTTAGTGAATATGATGTTTGGATAGATTGTATCATTTTTTGTCGTTATTTATTTTTACACGCCTATTATTTGAATGATAATCTTAAAAAATTAAATAGGGTAGAGTGATTATAAAAATGTAAGGTAACTAAAGGAAAAACTAAGATTATTAAGTAATAATTAAAGATAAAAATAAGGAGAAAATATTAAGGTGATGATGAGATCATATCAAATCAGTAGTTACACAAAATGAGACTCTTTGTCCTTTACCTAAGGATGAATTTAAACTATGCGATACAATAAAATTTAAATAATGATCAAACCAAACATTGTATTTAAACTAATAATACAATACAACATGTAACAACAATCCAAACAAGGTGTAAGGGGGTTTGAAATATAAAAATATGGTGCTTAAGATTTGATTTGAACTAGAAATTTAAGGTGAATTTTGAACCTCCTCAGTAAAAAAATGTAGGTTAAAACTAGGGGTGACAAAATCAATCTCAGGTAGCCGAACTCATTTAAGTTTGGACGGATTATTGAACAACCTATTTATTAGCTCAACTCAATAACAATGGATTGATGTGTAAGCCCAAATGAACTAATGAAAAATTTTGTCAAAATATTTTTTTGAAAGATTTTTTTTTAAAAAAAATTTGATTTGTTTTATATATAGCTTGGGATATTCATGGTTCGATTTGGAATGGTTATTGGCGAAAATCAAAACCAAATCAATAAAGTCGGTTTTAAATTTCTAAAATCAAATCACACCAAATGAAAAAAATAACCATCGGTTTGGTTAGTGTCGATTTTGTTCGGGTTTTGAGGTTTCTTTCACTTTGAAAGTAATAAATTTTTGAAGGCATACACATCTCAATAGACACAAATACCAAGTACATGAACAATCCATAGGAAAGCTACCGTGGACTCAATTAAACAATACTAGAGTTATAATATATAAATGTACCATTTAACTTGGCTTCAACTAACATATATATATCCTCCAACTTTGGGTGTGCACAAGTAGACAGTTAAACTTGTATAAAATTGAACTAGTAGACACACACGTCCTACATGACATAATACACGTAGGACACCATGCAAGATATGAAATTGCCATGTAGGACGTCACGTAGGACATATGTATCTATTTGTTCAACTTTATACAAGTTTAAGTGCTTACTTACGGACACTCAAAGTTTGAGGACATAGTTATCAACCGAGGCCAAGTTAAAGGGCATGTTTATGTATTGTGTCTTATTATTTCACGAACAAAGTGATTCAATTAAGAGAAAGTGTGACTATATGATGTGAGGTATGATAGGTAAAGACTATAGTAATGGATTTTGATGGACTTAAGATTTTAATTGTTAGACTAAAATTTAATTGTTGGGCTTGAGGAAATGAAAAGTTAAAGACTTTAAGTTAATTAAAATTTAACAAAATATTTATATTTTACTTATGAATAATATTTAAGCAATTACAAAATTTATATATATAATTTCTTGGTTCGGTTTGGTTATTTTTGCGGGTATTTTTTTTAGTATAGCATGTTAAATTAGGTCTTAGGCCTAACTCACACCCCAAAAGTTAGCTCAAAGGGAGGAGGATTGCCCAAGCCTTATAATGAGTCCACCCATCTCATTAACCACCAATGTGAGACTTTTGTCATTCTTTAACACCCGACCTCACACCCAGTGCTTAGCATCTGGTGCGTGTGCAATTTTGATTTTTTGGGGCCCCAACATTGGGTGAGATGACCCTGCTCTGATACCATGTTAAATTAGGTCTTAGGCCTAACTCACACCCCAAAAACTAGCTCAAAGAAAATAGGATTGTCCAAGCCTTATAAGGAGTCCATCCATCTTATTAACCACCAATGTGAGACTTGCGTCATTCTTTAAGAAAAACCAAATCAAATAGTATCGATTTTCAAAATTTAAAACCAAACCTAACCTAACCAAACTAAACCACATCAAATGTCAATTTTTTAGATCGGTTTGATTTGGATTGTGGGTCAGTTTGATTTTCTAACCATACTCATAAACAACCTAGCCATAATAAAGAGAGATAATAATTTTATTAGGTACTAAAATCTTATAAAAAAACAAATTAAATAATAAAAACTTAGTAAAAATTGAATAATTGATTTTGATCCAAACAAATTTTAATTGAAATGGATCTTAGCTGATTTTGTTGGCTTGATCCATTTTATCCCGTTCAATTATCACCGCTAATTAAAAAAGAAAAAATAACAATTGCATAAACAATTGAAATTGCTTTCTTATCATGTGTATAGTCTGAATTTTAGATATGTAGCATGAAAATGACTCGTTTAGCGTGTTTTTCAAGAAGCATAGGTCTATTGGAAGCAGAAGGTAAGGGGACAATGTATGGCTTCATTATTGACTTTATAATCTGTGCCATTTACAGCCTTACTGTAGTTGGATTATTTTTAGCACCATACCATCGTTAAAAATAGAGAAAAAGCTAAATATATCATCAAACTTTTAAAAAAGATTTATTTGTGTTCAAGGCCCATTGACTACTCAAATCATACCTCTAAAAATCATTTTTCATATTCAATATCGTCAGAATCATATCCTTCATTTACCACACATTTTGAACTAGATCATTATGAAAAGAAGGAGAAGGAGTGGAAGGTCATAAAAGGAAAGACTGAGCAAAACATCAAAGAGGAAGTTATGAATGCAATGAAGGACAGTAGAGTCATATAATTTTCATCCTAGCCGCAAATTCATCCTTAGACACTTCTATCTCTAACCTTCTTATAATCTCAAGTTCAATAAGTAATTATCTATTTATTCTCGAGAATCAACAAAATAGTAAGCATAAGGTTAAGAGAACATAAACACTACTAAAATAATGAAAAAGAAAATTAGACTGACTAGAAGATCAACGGATAGGTTCGATCCAAAAATTAGAGAAAGTAGAACAAGTATATATAGATCAAGTTTTACATTAAAATTATTTCAAATCATACTTTTTGTTAGAATCTAGAATTTGTAATCATGATCCCAAATCATACGTCAATATACTGATTTTGAGGGTACAAATCGTATCGCATGGTATATATAATAACTTTGCTAAAACGCCTGCAAATTAAATTTCTCTCAATATGCATGGACAGATCTTAAGGGTAGCGAGGAGGTATACAAAAAATTACATGGTATATTATATAGTGATTTATTTTTTATGTATGCATATAAATTTTGAACCTCCTAGCTAGTTGAGGTTGATACGAATAATTAAAAATAATATTTTTTTTTATTTAGTTAATTTAACTATTTAATAGAAAAATAAAAATATATTTTTTTTTCTTTAAAAAAATTGTGGTGTTAGCTTGAAATATAACTTTAGTTCAATTTGAAAAGACTAAAAGAAATAAAATATTTAAGCGAGGACGGAGAGGGTAATTTAATTTGTATTAAATGGAATAATGGATAGTTGTATTAATAATATCATCAGTTTCACCACGAAATAAATGCATGCATCCGATAGTCGTCAGTCGTCACTTATTTACGGGGAAATAAATAATTAAGCGGTTTGACAAATTAATAAAAGATAATATTTTTTATCTATTATATCCTCAATTTATTTAGAGAGCTACTATTTTTGAATAATGTAGAACCTCTTTAATGAATAAATTGATTTTGAAATTCTATCAACTAATAGAGGTAAAATAATAAATTAACTATATCAATTATTATTTTCTTAATAGGTGCATCAAGTTAAAGAATGAACAAATAAATAGTAACAGAGGAAGTACAAAATTTCATTCTGAGGTTTAAAAAATTCATTCTGAAGCATAAAAATTTTCTTAAAATTTTGCTCACTTTTTTCAGGTATGAAAACTATACAAAATTTGTATGAAATTGCCCAACATTTTGATTTTTTTTCCCAATTTTATTATTAATTCAATATGAAATATATATCTATATATATATATATATATAATTTTAACCACTCTGATTTTATCTGTATTTCTCTGTATAAATACCAATATCTTAGTCGTAGTTGGTTAGCAAAAGGGTGTTTTTTCATATATTATCTCTGTCTTGATTTTACTGTGTAATGAATTTATATTCTAGTCGAGATATTATTTCTATTAGATGATCTAACCTTATATTGTCTTCTTTAGTATTATTTAGTCTCTTATATTCTAGACTAGATATAAACTTTCCAATTTTCTTTTTGTTTCTAAATGTGCCTGAGTACTACGTAAAGGTCTTCTCATTAACTGACTTTCCAAAAACTTCTTGCTCTGATACCAAAATTAGCCCAAAAATACAAAAATAGCAGAAAAATAAAGGAAATCGAGTACCAAAATTAGCAGAAATAGCAAGCAGTGGTTCCAAAAATAAAAAATAGCAGAAATAGCAGTGGTTCCAAAAATAAGATGATCCTACTCAGTACTCCCTCTCACTCGGTGTCCTCTCTTGTTTATCGCAGAATTCAACCTGTCCCACCCC